TGTAAAAATCTTGTAAAATATCCATACGGAATATCTTAGATTGAAATATGCTTATCATCTAAAAACTTTGTCTGAAATATCTCAAGAAGTTTGATTCCTTTCTGATAAACACTAGAAATATTTAGTTTCTTGAAAACCTTTTACACTGAAATGAAATGATCCAACCTGTTTGAGTTGTTTCTGATATATAAGACCTTTTGTGAGCCTAAAGCTATTACACAGAAATGACCCAACGGTTTAAGCCGTTTCAGTTTCTGCTTTATTAATCTGAATGACATACCTACAGATAAAATTCAATAGGTACGCAGAAATAATTCAAGTGGACTGGGACCATTTAGCAAATGTATTTGGGTGTTCTTCATACTGTGGGTTGAGCCTGGTCGGGTAGTCAAGAAAAAAAAATTCCGCGTACCTACATTTTTAAAAAAGGATTTTTTCTACAATATAGATCTGACCCTCAGGGGTACGATGACACGTTTAAGTGAATTCTGGCCAATGTGTGGGTTGAGTCCTTTCTGCTTAACTACGTCCAAATGGATTTAAGCCACAGTATCTCCGAAACCACAATCATTTGACCATAGATACATTAGTAACTAATATTCCGTTTAAAAAACCCTATCCAACGGTATATCACATGTTACTATTGAAGGGTGGGCCCAGACTCCGTAAGTACGTGCTCCATACTTTGGTTCCCATTGGACACAACCTCAAACATAAAACTGGTTATAACTTGTCCCAAATTCTAAAAATCTAAGATTTTTTATAGGGCTTGTCTATCATGATGACTACCAATTAAAACAAGATTTTTTTTCTGTACGAAACTCCCATACAACCCTGCCAGAGAAGGATAGGTAGTCATTGTGGTCAATCTATCCTTTTCTGCCAAATTTATTTAAGCTGCTGACTACCGTACTTACAATCTATAATCAAAATACAATATTTCTGTTCGTAAGTCTTGCTGAAAGTTTAGAACGCACGGCTGGACTGATTTGGCTAGTTTTGGTCTTAATTAAATCAAATCATTTATTTCGGTTGCAAACATGGGTTATAAGATATACAAAAGGTGTCTAATATTTATAGTATGGTTCTCCACATTTTGCCGTTATGGCATGCAAATAATGTACAAGTACCTACAAGTATTTCCTAATAAATTTATCTACAAGTTTAACTTACACAACCACATATCTACAATGTTACCAATAAATTAAGAATTGAAATAATTATAATTATTGAATGTCAAGAAAGATGAAATTAAAGGTATCATATTATTACCTATTAATAAGTCAGTAAGTCAGCATTAAGAAAGTCCTCAATATTATAAATAGCATTAATTGTCAAGCAAAAGTTCTTTTAGCGTCTTTTTATATTTCAATACAGTCATACTTTTCATAACATCTGGTACCTTATTGTAAATGCGAGGTGCAATACCAAAAAAACTTTTCTTTACCAATGCAGTTTTACAAGTCACTGGATATAATTTATTTACAGATTTTGTACGTATTGGATTCCTCTTGACCTCCAAAACTTTTAGGAATAGATGTGGGTTACACTTCACAAACAAGGTAGTCTCCAAAATGTACAAGCAAGGCATGGTCAAAATTTTTGAAGACTTGAAATAGGGTACACAGCTGTCAGTTATCTTTAGACCGCACATTGATCGGATACATCGTTTTTATGACCTAAATACCTGCTCTCTTAAAATGTTTGTGGAAGTCTAGGGAAGGTTTAAAAGGTGACAAAAAGAAATTTTAGGCAGTACGAAGTTGGCCGGGTCAACTAGTATAAAATAACTAATACCTACCTATTCAGAGGTCGAAGTAGGTAGATTGATTTAATAAGGTCGTTGACGTCAAACATAGAGGATAATATAGGGATATGCCCCCAAAATACCGGAACTTCATGTTTATTGTGAATATTGTGATATTTGATCGGGAATTTTGTAATTAACACGAATTTGTGTTTAAGGTGAAAAACGTGTTACTATTAACATCAATCTACTTTACCAGTGTTAGCTAATGGTGAAAGAAATGAGTATTTTATTTTATACAAAAATTCACAACGCATTGACCGCACGCAACGATAAAATGGCATGTCCATATTATAATATCTTGAAGTATTATAATATCAATCTACCTACTCCGACCTCTGCTAATATCACGCTCCATGGATGTAGTGGGGTGACAGCCAGTGGACAGCGGACTCATGGGATAAATAGTCCTTTTCACTCGCTATTTAAAAACTGCCATACAGACGGGAGAAATATGAATATGTAGCACAATGAGTTGGCAAGCTGCCCTGTGCTATATTTAGTCCAATTTAATTCAATAAAAATATAATTTATTAACTCTAATTTTCCAAATTTTTATCGGCCGACGTTTGGCCACTATACCGCCCGATGGTACGATGGAGCGCACCTGTCCATAAGCCACCTTACTTAGAAGAAATTAACTTACCCATTATTTTATGGTTATTGAATTGATTATTGCCATCATTCGTTTAATCTTTTAATTATGTCTACTTTTAAGGAGGTTAACATAAGATTAAGAAAAGGAATTTGTAGTCAATGAAAGTAGGTAATAGTGAGAATGAGAAATAATGACTATGTAACTTCACATAATGCGCGAAATTACCCCCAACTTTCACACCAAAAACCTTGCTACGGTTCGTGCCGGGTAGGTTGACCGTCTGTTCACGTGAGGCTTTTAGTGCTTTTTGATCCCTCCTCCCCTTGGTGTTATGTGGCCAGGTTTTAGATGAACTCCCTGCCCAACAAAACGTGTATTTTTTGCCATACAAAATACAAGTGGGTTAACATTTTGCAGGTAGTACAAAAAGGTACCTCTTATCTAATTTGATTGAAGTTTAGAAATACTTCTATGAACTTAGGAAGTGGAATAAACTCCACATGATTTTTATCGAACACCCCCTCCTCCCCTAATTTAACCTCCTGTGATTAATGGAACACCCCTAGGAAGTAGTACCAATGTAGGGTAGTAGGCTTACCTACTGTGTAATACTTATATTACACAGATTTTAATATAATAAACGAATGTCCCGTTTTAACCCAAAAAATAAATGGTCACGTTAGGTATTATCCATGGAACAGAAATAAATATCCTTATGTAATACCTACATTCGTTTATTTAGATTCAGTCACGCACCTGGTAGCTACATCCTATTATCATATTATCGACTCTGTTAACACAAACTTTATGGTTATACAAAAAGGTTACTAACTGCATTAAAATATTCTTATGAGTTTATTTCGTCAAACATTTGTGAGTTGTGTTATTATGTATTACGCACATCTATTTAACCGGACAATTTTGCGTTCCAGAATTCATTTCGGGGACAACGGGACTCGTAATCAAACTGTTTAAACCGGGACGTCTGGTCACGTTAATCATACGAAACAAAACTTTTTGATGTGTCTTGTCTTCGCATAGATATTATGACTACCGTCAATCGTGATAATTTTGATTGATATTCTTGTAATCACCTACCCCCCGTATATAAGTATTTTTGACCTTTTTTTTAACCCCTAGGTGGGAAATCCTCATGGAGCCCCCTCGCCTGGGGAGGACGAAAGGGCTACTCTTTGACCTACCCTATATACAAATGTACTCTGTGGTCACGTCGATCACAAACTAAACTTGTCGTTGTCATAAAATGTCAAACATTGTCGTATACTTTGTCGTTTTGTTTGCTGATACTTGTTCCTTATTTCGGTTTATTTACATTTACAATGAAAATATTGTTTTTGATAACAATTGCCATCAGTGTTGCACATGCTCATAGAGTAAGAAAGGAAGATAAACTGTTGTTGAGTCCTGTTGAACTAATTGATCTGGTTAGAGAAGAACAACATAAAAATAAACCTATGCAAATGAAACAAACTTCAGCGGCTGTGGGTTATTCCCAGAAAGTTAACAAACAAATATTGGAACCTGAACCTGACGATTCAGAGTATGACTCAGGTCGGCATCTCATCGCATTTCTTACCTATTTAGTATTTGTTGTATTTATGTATTCAGTATTTTTAAATAAGTACCCCATTCAACTAGTATTCTACATTATTGTTCTTTCAGTATTTATCTATTACAACTCACCCTACAGGTAGTACCTTATCATCGAGTGCCTGAGCTATATTCGAATGTAGGTAGATGTTTTTGCCTATACGTGAGCGATGATTCGATGATTCCTAGCAACCAATCACGTCAGTTTAGTTGCAAATGGAGGAGACGAGTAGGTATTGACCATTTCGGGGGTAGCGGGGAGCGCTCTATGCAGTAGTGACCCACCCCTTGCATATTCATATCGGAAACCACCCCAAACGTTCCGCCCATCGCAGAAAGTTTTGTATTTAAGTAGTGCATCGTTTGACTGAGATCATTTTGGTCCAAACAGTTTCGTGTGAAGACGATAAAACATTAAAGAATCGGAAAATTTGGAGTCGATGGAGTAAATGGGGAGACTGTTCAGTGACGTGTGGCGCTGGTACTATCACGCGGTACCGGGTGTGTGTAGCAGGACGGTGCGCGCACGGCGAACGAGAAGAACAGCGGAGGCCCTGTGCACGCGCCCCTTGTCATGCCACTTTCTACAATATGACAGACGACCTGCGTGAGGTCGAATAAACTACTTATTCTTCTATCTTTAAGTTTTCATTTTTGTTGATACAAAATGCCTAGCAAGAGCAGAAGAGAATAAACGAGCAGATGGATCACCTGATGGTATCATGGTAAGCGATCATGTTTGCTTTTTGATCAACATGATCTGTCTGTTAAGATAATTACAAAGCGACAATGTGCGTTCGAGGAATAACGTCTACACGCCGCGCGTTCCTGCGTACCATCGAATGTTTATAAGCTGAAGTAAACATATTTTTCATGGAATTTCAACCAGAAAGAGATATGACGGATCATTGTCAGTTCCATCCATAATTCAGTGAGGTTCGCACGATTGTTGTATCACATAATTTTTAGCAGTTACTTAATAAAATGTACATCTTAATTACGATGTCTGTTCTGCCTATTTTGGCACATTTTACGGCATGTGAATGTAAGTACTTAGCTACTAGCTTTTAGAAATCACTTCCAATAAAACCTGTACTCCACTTCAACTTGGGTATGCGAAAATTAAAAAATTCGTGCCTACCTGCGTTTATAACATTTCTTTTCCATATTCGCGTTTATTTTATTATAGATGTTCACTGGTACCTACCAATAGACTTTATAATAATGACTATGCTAAAGTTTACGATATTAGTTGAACACGATGTAAAATTGAGTTTAAAGAATTATGGAATATAGGTCAGGCAATCCCATAGGAATGCGCCCGTTTCTCACTTTGTTAGATAGAGGACACCCGGCCTGTATGACATGAGACCGCTGGGGACAGTTAATGAAGTTAGTTGCACATGATCCAGTTTTCTTATACTCGCATACATATGCAGATATGTATATCGTAATAGATATGTTGTAATATATCTACTGGAAAATACCAACGTTATTTTTCAATTAGATACCTGCCTACCCTAACATTGGCTACCTATGTAATGTAGGCAGGTACATCTTGTAAAAGTATTTAATTAAAATCTATATCTATACAAAATTATAATAATACTATAGTTACTAGATAGATACCGAATCCGTAATGTGATTAAACATTTTTTTTGACTGTCTGTCTGTCTGTATGTTCACGCAACACGCTAAAACTACCAATCCGATTCGATGAAACTTCGTATTATATTTTAATATCCTGGGCACAACACTGGGTGCTTTTTATCCCGAAAAAGTATATACACGAAAAAACTAACTTTATTGTGCGGCTTAATCCCTAGGCAAAGTTAAGTTTGGTACACCAAACGGAAATATAAGTTTGTCGAATATTAGGTTGTCCGCAGTGGACTTTACGATGTAACTGTAATACCGATGGTTGAAATTACAAATGAAGGTTGAAATTACAATAGGTATGGTCTAGAACATGAACATAAAATAGGTACTTAAATGCATAGTACTCAATGGATTAGGTCACATAGGCACATACCTACCTAATCAGCAGTAGAAAATAACACTTCTTAAGGTTTTGTTTTTTCTCAGCTACACAAGAGCCGCCAAAAGACCTGCAATCAAAGATTACGTTTAAAACACCGATTAATGAGGTGTCAACGACGGCAGACACATTGAAGCATGGATCTCTACGGACAAACCAGCCAATGCCACATATAAATAGAGTATGTACCTCTATCTACTTTCTTAGTAATTTCAGTAGTTATCACTATCGTACAAAAAAATGTGCAAAAAAATGCCTAACAACCGTTCCCGGGGCCCGGTCGGTGAGTTGTTGAGTCTTCGCCTGCCACTTTTACGTGTTATAATTACATTGTTTCTTGTACATTTTTTTAAAAAAGTTTATGAATATAACCTTTTTTCTCCATTAACTCGTCGAGTACCGGTTTTATAGACACAATTAAAGAACAATAGGTCGCGGTCACCGGTGACCGCTTGGTGCTTGACAGTTTAATCTACAATTTGAGAGGAGAGGGTGGACTACATATTTATAACCGACTAAAGAGACAAGACATTCTCAGACTCGCCCAAAGATTTGTTAACTGAGCCAAAAGGAGGGTTTGCTGGATAGTTCAGCAACTGATTGGCCCTCGAAGAAAACCATCCTTACTATAATCCTTACTTCCTTACTAATATTATAAATCTGAAAGTGAGTTTGTTTGTTTGTTTTTTTGTTCCACCTTCACGCCGTAACTACTCAACCGATTGCTTTGAATTTTTGCAGACGTAAAGTTAGAAGTCCGGATTAAATAATAGGGTACTTTTTATCCCGGAAAAATGTGATATTCCCGAGGGAAAACAAACATATTTGGAATAGATGGCGCTGTGTGTATACGTATAGATGGCGCCATATGCCATTTAAAACAATTCAACGAATTACCTACTAATTGAAATTTCACGCTTTAATCTATAGCGCTTATTTGGTGTTCATCTACACTTATTCGGTGCACTTTTCGACTAATTTATTTGCTGTTTAATAATATAAAATACTTAAGAAAACACAACGTGGTAACGTTGTGTAGTAGTTACGCTACTTGGCAATAGAAGGCGCTGAGTGTTTATAAAACGGGGTAGCGTTGTTTTTTAAGTATTTTTAGCTTTTAAATTTTGGTTCCAACCATTTATAATATATTGTACGCTGTTGTTTCAACGCTCGATAGATGGCGTTAGGATCGAGTTAGATAGCGCTATGGTTTTGTTACCGGCGAAAGTATAGGTTCCGAGCTTCCGAATCAATTTCATTTCGGTGTACGCTTCTAGGGCTATTGATGATTTTCATTCGCTCGCTCTATGGGTTTGATTAGTCAAGTGTTATTTTTTCTAGGTAGATATTATTATCTAAAGTAAGTTGTTTTTTTTTCGTCGTTTTAATTAGCTTTATATTAGTTACGTTAGATTAGTGAAGTGGTTTGGTTAGTTTATTTCTAAGTATATGTCTACAGCAGTTGGGTTTTCTATAATAAAACGTAGATTATAGTTTACCACTCAGTTTTGGTATACCATTGCAAATGAAACCCTTATAGGAAATAGAAGTCTTTTAAATTAAAATGGGAGGATGGTATTTGTGGTAATGCGAAAATAAGTCCTTCGCTGTTGTTCTTTCACGCTAAACGGCTGAATGGAGTTTGAAGAGATTTGGTATAAAGGTAGTTTGAGTCCTGGAAAAGCAAGACTGTACCGCGGCAGAACTTCTTATTCCTACGAAAAAATCTAAAAAGCGCGATATAACCGAATTCCACGCGAGCGAACAGCTATTTGTTTGTTTGCCTGTCTTAAACGGCAAAACGGAGGTACTTAACGTGATTTTTTAACTGACGGTAGTTGAAGGGATGGATAGTCACATAGACTACTTTTTATCTTTTTGTGACGCGAGCTAAGCCGTGGGTAAAAGCTAGTTATATATAACCAGGACATGTAGTTCCAACCAAATAAGTGGCTTATTGTTTTAGAACAGATTGCCATAGTGCAGAAAGAAAGGAAAATAAATAAAATTTATCTACAATAGTTTTACAGTAACCGGGGACTGTCCTTGGGTGCATTTCCATAGTAAATACAGGGGCAGTCGCCGGGTTGTGTTCATTACATTTAGATTAAAGTTGTGTAAACGGCTTCTGCACCTAGTACGCCTCCCAAATGACCAAGACTGGTCCCGTAATTGGTAAAGACATACATAATAGTAATTCATTTACTTTAGAAAATTATTCCAATACTTCTCAGTGCAAAACAAAGCCAGAACTCTTGACAGATGAACTCCAACATGCCTCAAGTGCTTCACACAGAGTCCATCGTCTCTGGAGACTTCCCAGGCTTCATACTAGCTATTACATTTCTAACCTCCTCAGCTGAACCTCTGACCGTCAAACGATCTGAGAATGGTAACAAAGTGACATCATCTATGGACGACGACGATCCCAGCGGTGAATGCAACTAAAACAGTCTCTTAATTTGTTCGAAATATCAGACCTATCCGTATAACCATCAACACTAACAGGGAAACCAGCCACAGGGCTCAGGCTTAGAATAGATTTAGAACGGCTTAGAATAGATTTAGAAAGGCTTAGAATAGAATAGAATTAGAACTTTTCCAAAAACGCTATAACTCGTTGAGTACCGTCATTATAAACACAATTAAAGAACAATAGGTTGCGGTCACCAGTGACCGCTCGGTGTTTGACAGTTTAAATTAAGACTACTATGTAAACTGGCTAATCTATTCATAACAATTTGCTCCTGTACTGACTGTCTAGACTGTCAACTTAGACTTAAATATAATGTACCTATTGTTTCCTAGATTGCACAATTTCATCATATATATGTACATACCTAGGTCCACTTCTATGTCAAACCATGTTTGAAAGCAAACAGTTGATCTTGTTACTTATAGTCAGAATTTTAATTAGATTCCAGATTTGACAATAGCTACTGTCATTTTGTGAAATAATGATACCACATTTAATAGTGTAGTGATGTGCACACAAAAATCGATAAACAATCAGTGTGTGTGTTTTATAATAAATGTTACAGAAAGTGACAGGATAGCGATAGCGATGACGGCGACAATTTATAAAATAACTTATTACCTTATTACATCTATCTGTTTTATTTGTCATGTTCCTTCATAATTACATTTTTTTATTTATTTCACACATAATTATAAAAGAAAAGTCTCAGATCGTTAATTAATCGTCAAAACTAAATTATCGGTTCAGAAATATTTAATTACCTGATATACTTAGTTTACGATAGTAAAATTATAAACGAGAAGAATCGATCCAGAAATATTGCATTTCCATATCGAATAATTTCGCAACGTCACTATTTAGTACTTGTCATAACGTTGCAACACTGAAATTGTCAAATCTGGAATCGAATTAAAATTCCGAGTATAGGTACTAAATTTTCTTCAAGTCTAGGCAACATTGACAACAAGATTATTGTTTTATTATTTTTCAGAAACCACACGTGTTGGGGGATAACAACGCAAGATATAAGATATTACTCAAGTCGCCGCATTCGGTGACGAAACTTGCTAAAACACTGTCACTAGGATTTGACCCTTCATTTAGTAAGGTACGATATAATTATGTACCGAATGTTGTTAGTTATTCATTAGAGCCATAAACACAGATATAATAAATTCTGTGTTCCATTCAATCCACAAAGTATAATCCGGCGCAATATTCGTTTGTAAACAATGGACACAATAGGTTTCAATTCGAGGCTTTCTTTAAAAAAATTGTTCCATTGTTTACTGTTTAATTGATTTTGACATAACAAATAACATAAATGCTAGTTCAAGAAGGCGAAGGGTTGTGGAACTTTGAGATTGCTGCATGGTTTGAAGCCTACGACAAGAATAATTTTCATTAGTTTTTATACCGATATTTTTCTGCTTATAGGATTATTTCGAACCATTCGAAAGACGACCAAGGCCAGTAACACTAGTTGCCTTTCGGAAGAATGGATTTGCTACAAGACACCAGTTCAAAGTTAGTAGTTAGTAGGTACCTACTTTATTGGTCTAAGTATTAGTACTTACTAATTTATACCGTAATTTCTTACTAATCGAATCTTTCAGTACAGTATTTCTTCCTTTACTTTCGTTTTTAAAAAATAATATACTAAAAATCGCACAGGTAGGTATGTAGACAGATCCGGGGCATAGTTATACTATGTCCGGGGTTAGTGAATTTAGCTACTACCTACTTAACTGTGTGATGTGCAGCGAGTTCGATTCCGGTAACTATTTTTTTGTGTTTCCACGAACGTCGGGTCTGGGCCAGACCGTCTGGCTGTGTGTCAACTATAGCACATTAGTTCACATTATGTACTAAATAAGTATTTTTTTTATATTTGTAAATGAAACCACAGTGCCTGTCACCATAAGTCAGTTGATATAATTATGTAGGTACATAATCGTTCTCTCTCGTATTCCTTATTAAATTCTGCGATACGAGGAAGTGTACCATGCGAGTATCTAATAAGTATTGTGCATTTCACACCCCGCCGCACTCTAGTACAGCTCGCACTCCTTATAGTTTTTAGGTCACTGATTTCATGACCCATTTCCAGGACGAGGAGGTGCCATGCCAGTGGCGCCACTCGGCTCTGTAAATGTCACTCAAGTAATATTCTACCGTAACGTGTATGAAGTCGAAGCGTTAGATTCACGTTTCATTATACCGAACTTTCATTTGTTTGTTCCGTGCGGGAATCAAACCTGCGACGCGACACGTTGCGGGGCAGCCAGTTGCCCAGCCACCACACCAACCGTGCAGTCAGTGTTGTGGTTACTGAAATAAAACTTGGGAAGCTTTTCCTCATTTTTGTTTATGCACGTAGCCCGGGGGCCCCGTACAATTGATAGGGGAGATACGGCGCTAAATACCCCCTGGTTCTACCAATTTAACTTAAAACTAAAGTGCCATGATATCAAAAATAAAAAAAAACAATAATAAGTACTTCACGAACTGTTTATATACTTTTTTAGAGTTGCAAAAGTTCTGGTAAGTTATTACGCGTGCAGTATGTACCTATAGAGGTAATAACCTCCTCGGGTAGCCTCCATTGCCGTTAGCGTGGTTGGATCTGCCGCAATTACAGCGGTGGGTCTGGTGCTGCTGAAAACTTCCGCATTTCTGTAGTGCATCGGGCATATCCACCTAGGAGGAACGGTATCCCTTGTGCAAAGCTTCAACAGCATTTTAAGGGTTGTTGTTGGCGCTAGGGAGATCACAGCAGTCGTTTTCTAATGATGTGGTCCCGCAGACAGGCACCTGTGTTGAAGATTTTTTTAAATTAGCAAATTTTAAGTCAAATGATTTTATTGTCATGGTTTAATCTTGACTTAGGTATTATTTGTGTAGTGTTATGAATACCTATTTTAAGTTTTATATTAACTTGAAGGTGCAGGCATTGGTTCACCACTAGTACTACCACTTATTAAGGAGATTTCGTATTATTTGGCTGAACTTTTCTTGTCTTCTTTTACAGGGCATCAACAGTAAATCGTCAGTAGTAGCTGAACTTCAGTCACCGTTCAACGAAATTAGTAACTTTTGGCAAGACGGGCATTTAGAGGCATAAGTATTAAGTCATTGGGACCAGCAAATGGGCTGAGATTATTTTTTACACAAAAGTATTCCATCACATCACAGACATATTGTTCAACAATTATCTCAAAAACTGTCTCATGAATCATTAAATTCTAAGCTGGTGAATACACTTGTAATTCTTGTGACCATAATGTCGGGTTCAGCTACAATATATCTGATTTCAATTTTGTTTCTAATATTATTACATTTTAACTTCTTTGATACTACGCAAAATAAAACGTTTTTATGTATTTTTGTCAGAACAATTTATTTTTATACTGCTTAGCTTTTATTCACACGTTTACTTGGAAAACTGAAATGGTCTTACGAAAATCATATCGCAAAATTTTATTACTTTCATCAAATTCTATATAAAAAATTCAATAGAAAAAATCGTTGTAATTTTTAGGGCGGGTAAAGAGATGACCGTATTATAATGTTGTGGAATATAAAATTACTGTGTTTAGCAGAGATTTTAGTAATAGTAAGTCTTAATATAGAGAAAATCGCAGGAAATATCGAAAACATTGAAGATGATGACGCTAGTATCAAGCAAGCCCTATTTTTAATAAAACTGCTTAAATCAGGTACCTAACATTTGTATATTATACTTTCTGTAACAACTATTATTTAATATGTTACTATTTTATAAAATATTTTTTTGTAATAAAAAGATTTTGGGAAAATTTTTCGGTCGAGCGGCATTGTAAATGATGAAGCTACCACAAATTTTAACGAAGATGCTAACAGCACGTGTGGTCTGCGCTCCGACGATAACAACACTACAACTCCCACGAGCACGACACCAATCAGCACTGCAGTAATGGGTAGGTTTCTCATTGTCTGCCTTTTCAATTTATATCGTTAGGTATAGGTATACCTGCGTAGGTACGCATGGTAAGATACGATACGTATATTCATTAAGTGACAAAAAAGTTCAATGGTAGCAGCATTGTGCGAACCGCAGGAATACAAATGACGGATTGCGGAAGAGTAAGAAGCGAGGCTTTCGTTTAGCAGTGGAGAAATAAAGAACCAATAGCAGATATTTAGAAGAATTTGTGCCAGGCGTTTGTAAGTCTGTATCTAATGTCCCAAAAGGAGGTTGATGAGTGGGATCACGAAATATGGCAACCGCCTTCGGTGCCGTACATACCAGCAGGCAAACTTTTGGAGCCACAGGCACATAGAGTGGGGCTCGGGCGCTCACCCAATAACCTCACGAGAGAGAATATGGACCCACGTGCCGCTATGCACAGTACCTTAATAATCAAAGGAGATATAGTTGGTCTATTGAGAGGTGGGTGACCTGTACAGCTGGATGGGAAGGTTAGGTTAGAATCCGACACTCATTCTTCCCAAAAGCCAAGCGCCTTTTGAAGGTCTCCCCAGTCATACAACAGATTTCTATAACGAAAAAAAAAAAAAAAATATGATAGTGGTTTGGTAGGTAGGTGTGGAATTGTACCTCAATGACAAGTAAAGGTTCATTTGTCGGAGGAGGATGCGATAATGTTAGTAGGGTTAAAAAATATCTATCGCAAAATAGATAATTTTTCACAAACAGCAAAACATTACGAGTTTTAAAATAATGTTTCAGGATTCAACCGGCGAATGATGCCTGATTTTGGTAAGTGTTATTATGATGAATGTTGTTTTTTTATTTAGAAACGTTGCCCTACACTAGGATTTACTCAGTCGTGGACTCGTTTACAAACGCACAAGCTCACATACACATGCTGGGTTGGGCAGTATTTCAATTACTTGTAATTATTACCAATACGCAAGGATGTTGAATACGTATTTGGTATTTGTGTTTCAATTACTTCCTTAAAATACTTACATATAATTTGTAATTCGTATTTCAAATACCTGACGACGAAGTAGGTATTTTGTAATAAGTATTTCAAATACTCGAGACTGCAAAATACCTACATTTAAACTTAGCAATCGCAAAAAAAATTCTATTGACCAAATTAGTGATTGAAAACAAAATTTTATACTTACGAATTTACTAGCTATTTTAAAACGAATAATATTTCTGCAAGTGTTTGTATATTAAATAATTGATGTATTGAGTTATTGACCACTGATAAAACCTAAAATAACTTGAAATTGAATCAGCAATTTTTTATTCGTTGATGTTTTGTAATTAGTTCGCGATTTTTTTACCTAAACCCAAAATGTTGAATATCTCAGAAACTAGCCACTTTAGGATTTTTTAGGGATCTGATTTTGTAAGAAATTAGTTATGTTGTATTATAACCTCCCAAAAAGACTAGGTACGTCGAGTTACAAATCAATCTGTATATAACTAGCTTCTACCAGCGGGTTCGCCCGCATTTCCGTGGAATAAAAAGTGGCCTATGTGTGTAATTCCAGACCATAATCTACTCCTGTTCCAATTTTCATCTCGATCCCTTCAGCAGTTTTTGCTTGCAACTCTTGCAAGAGTAACAAACACACACATACATCCTCCCAAACTTTCCCATTTACAATAAGAGCCCTGAGAAGTATGTGTGGAGTAAAAATGAGTGATCGGGTGAAAAATAGTGTTATTAGAGAAAGGTGTGTATTGAAAGATGATGTAGTGACATTAAAAAGGGAATGTTACGCTGATTTGGACATATAGAAAGGATGGATGCAAGTAGAGTAACACAGAGCAGATATGAATGGGGCCGTCGGTAGAGGGCGCCCTAGACGGACATATTGAAGATTAGCGATAGCTATATTAAAAAAGGGCCAAATTAAAAGTAGGTACCCTTAACCGACGAGTATGCATGAAAAGATTAATTCAAATTCAAATTCAAAATTTTTATTTCAGATAAAACATCGATATGTATGTTAGTAGTAGTACAACTTAGCCTAATGTTAGTAAATTATAATAATTATATGTTCATTACTTTATTTGGATAAGTGAGTCTGGACACTTATCCATCTACGTAACAGGGGAGAGTCCCACCGGTCAATGAACACACTCAGGATGCCATTGGAGGAAGAACGCAGGCGCGCCAACATTGAGGCGCATCTCTTCCGCATGATCGCGGCGAACCCATCCACACATGCGTCCGCGAACATCCCTGACGCGCTACATCGCCACGGCAACCCCAAAAGCACCCTAAATGCGCCATTGTACTGCACTGTACTTGTACTAATGACTGTTGATGAAGCAAAAGGGGTACCTATGTAGAAATCGTAGTAATTGGCGTACCATGGTCATCAGTATATTCACGGGAGTAACCCGCGATTTTTAGTTAATTTAGTATGTCTCACGATAGTTATTATAAAAACACTCTTTGTCTGTTTCGAACCCCCACTTCTTTTAATTTTCTTCTCTTCATACTGTATTCACCTGAGGTACTAAGTACGTCTAATGTAACATTAATTGTTGATACTGGTCTATTGAGAATACTTATAAGTAAGTACGAATTACTAAACATTATATAATATTTTTAGCAAATTTTCGACGACAAGGAGAAACCTTAAATAAAACAACTACTGAAACACGAGGCCAAACAAAAAATGGCAAAAGCTTAAATAACACAACAACTAAAAAACCACAAACAGCAAAACATGATCAAGTTGAATCAAAAAATAGAAAAAGCTTTATTAAAAAAACAAAAGACGATAATTATTCAGATGAAGTATACAGTGATGCAGACGAAAACTATTCAGAAGAGCTTGAAAACGATCCAGAAGAATTGAATAAAGATCAAGTCGAATCAAAAAATTCATCAAGTTCATCAATTGCTTCATCAACAAAATCTACTATAAAACCAAGAATTATAACAAAGACTACAACCAAAAAGATTCGCACAAGTCGTACGACTTCTATTATGACCGGAAAGACGTTTCGATCCTCCTTGAAAATATTTTTACCGCATAGTTCCAGGCTTCCTATACCTTTTTCAGAAAACAACGCATTTTGTCATTTTTACCCGACTAATCCTATATGTGGTGGCACTACGTAAATAAATGTCTATTCGCAGTTTTTACATATTTATTTCAGACATCCTATGAGGAGGATACTACTTCAGTTCATACTGGTAATGAGAGTGTTCAGACCCTCACAATTAACAGGTTTATCGTAAGCCTAATTATCTATCAACAACCTTGAAAGGTGGAGCTTGCATAAGGGCGACAGCCGCGCCGCCCGGTAGCCCTAGACTAGGTATTCTATAAAATGTTAATTTGAACTCTCGAAGTGATCGCGGTCCGCCATGTCGTTAGTTGGGAGAATAATCTCGACCCCTCATGATGACACATGACAAACAGAAAAATTGCGTCCTCTTAATAAATGCAAAGCTCATGTAATATTTTTATGGACTAACGCTGGAATGTGTACTGAAAGGCTACTCAATTATAATATTTATTATAGGCGCGCTCAGGTCTCTGTCTGCTGTCTCTTAATTATTTGAAAAATGACAGATGGTATAACTTAAAATTTAGTAGACTTTCAGTATTCGGGCGTAAGAGACGTCTCTGGGGATTGGCTTTTGAAGGATAGGTACTAATACTAAAATGAAAAGAAAACAAAATCAAATTTCACCAGTTTTATTACGTTAAGAAACCTAATTTTGACAACTTTCTGTTACTATGTTTAAAATAGCAATCTTATACTATATTGAATTTTCGTATTCTTTTAAATTCAGTTCCCAAAAACATGCACAAAGATAATTATCATATTCATTTAGTAATATTGAGGTAGTTATTAGTTTCAGAACTTATACCAATTATAAAATGGTTCTAAAAATAACAGTAATTTAAAGAAAATGCGGTTGGACTATGTATGTCAATTTATCCTGCAAGAGTAGTGGAAAAAAAAACAATATATCAATCAATGAATATTGGACCTTGATACATTCATTTGAGAAGCAACAACAACAGCTTCCCTATTCTAAACAAAAATAACGCATGCTGTGGGTCCCGCCTCATGAGATCGCGTATGTACGCCCGTTATTTTATAATAATATTTATCACATGGCGGGCGGGACGAGACGCGACGACACGAAACGAGTCTGGCCGGGCGGTACCGCCACCGGCCCGGTACGACGTGTTCCTACACCCGCCCGGCCGCCACGCGACCACACTACACACTGATATACATGCTCCAGCAAGGTACATAAATACATACGACATACATAAACACTATTACTATAGACTCGGTAAACTTCAATAGCATACACTGGAGGGGATGTAACATACGAACAACAGAATGAGTGCTCCATTTCCCCACTAAATAAAATTAACAAGTAATTGAAAAAAAATGCAATGTGCGCTCGAGGTTTCCATAAAATGAAATCGATCCTTTCACACGTAAATACACAAAATAGTTGTTACACACACGAGAAAGAATTATAATGTAATGTAAATAACAGTAGAACCATCAAACAAGAATGATAATAGCGACAATGACAATATGTAAGTAATGGGCGCGAGGGCGCGACGGCAGGGGTGTAGTTCAGTCTCGTGGCCGCGCGCCACCCGCGCCTTCATCAACTTAAACTACTTCGCAACGATACAATAATAATCAACTAAAACTATTTCTGCATCCTAACATTACAAATCATAATGTACCCTCTCTTGCTTTCATTTGGAAGGAATAAACAACATGCCTATATGTACACTCTTCCTGTCGCAGTGAAAGTAACCGTATATTATATTCCATTCTGATAGCCGATGCAAGCGGAATCTGGCTGTCTGTGTGTCGAACAATAGTCGGTCGACCAAATACTCAGGTAGTCGACCGATATTGAACACATAATACAAGCCAATTTCTTTCTTGTCAAGAAAAATATTGTTAATCTACTAACGAGTGGAAATGTTACACCAATATGAATTCTAACATTAATTCAAGACATTCAAATATCGATAATGCATACAATTTTCTTTAGCGAAACAATAATTAGCTTGCATACATCTACACATATATTTTTCACTCGTACCGTATATAAGTTATAACATTGAATGCGAAATTATATTATAATTTAGTAAATTCTCTAAAATACGCAATTGCAGGTGGTCGATCTTTCAGCAATAGGTGTTATTTCGTGAAATATGGAATGTAAAATTATTTGCCGATTATATTAAGGACTTATCATCCTGACGTTACGCCATAGCGTAAAAATCGTTACACTTCTAGTATCAAACATTCATATTCAGTTTTATAAATTCAGAGCCCTAGAAAACTCATTAGGTATTGTAATAATAGTATCAATGGTACTTTACACACTAATTCCTGGCATATAGTTTAAGTGATACAGCTATTGTGGAGAGTAACAAAGTTAGCGACGAGTAAGTTGCCCATCGCACGACATTATAATCACTAAACCATTCATTTTGTTAAATTATGGCCGAACAATAAACCATTTTCATTGTGTTGCGTCGCGATCGCGTTCCGCAACACCAATAGTAAGTCTCGGTATGTATGTCAGTAAGTGGACTCTCACTGCTCTCTGATCATAGGCAGTTATTCTTCCTGATATGTTTGTAAAAATGAAGTCCGTTTTCTATGTCATAAGTTATTTACATATTGGTTTAACGTTTGTTCTCCACAGAACAAACATTACTTATCCGTAGCGTGTAAAGGAACTCACGTACTTAAAACTCTTGCGGGTACTATTCTCGTACTACATAGTGTACCGTTAATCATAATAGACGGATTTGTCATATTAAAAATAAGCCGTTATAAATTTACGATTGGTTTACTTTTTCTTATATATGTAATGTAAATATAAATGTGTATATTAAGTGAAATATAACAACAAACTCTGTTTCAATAATTAACAGTAACTAATTTATGGAGGCTTACTTACATTTATGTAACATGGCAGTATATATAATTCTTCTACTATAGTTTTGTGAACTATTTATTTATTCAAGTACGTAAATCATAAAATTATAACGGCAACAATTGTTTTTATTCACGGCTCACGGCTTGTACCTTCAAACTGGTATCTTAAGTTTATCGTTGAATATTAAGCACCTATAGCACGTTGTTTTTCGTCTGTCTATATAAGGAGTTATTTGCCAAATGTGAGATTATTCTTTTTTAATAATAATATGTGGAAGCAATACAAAATTGCAAAGAAATATGTTTTACTATCACCAAATGTGTAGCAGGGTCTTGTCAGAAAATTTTAATTTTACCACAAAAAATTTATTCACTTCAAACATCAAACAAATCAAGATTACTAAATTACTACATTATAATAAGGTTGTACTGATTCGCAAAACCGTTGATTACAATCACGTAATCATCAGTACAAATCCATTACTGATATGAAGACAAATAAAAAAAAATATCTTCCGATAGCAAACTGACTAATCTATGTAAAATGAATTTACCGGTATACGTTATTACGTTATTATAATCACCAAATAATTGTAAATATGAATGGATTGTCAATATACTATCGGAAGATTAATTAGCTGAAGACAATTCAGCTAAACTCTGACAATGAAATACAAATGTTACTAGATTGATTACCTAATAATAGTAACTGATTCAAATTATAATGGAGAAGGTAGGAAATGAATTAGGTCGTCGTTACGAACAAGCACCGTTATCTATTTAAGCATCACATTTCAATTATTAGGTAATCTGTCACAAGTAACATAAGTATGAAGTAAGCATGCATAGTGTACCCTTTACATTCAGCACTAAACATTAAATGCAAACAAGAATATTATTACGCCATCCAACATTAATGAATTGAAAATTATTTTGATGCATTTGGGACACGGAATAGACGTAACCAGATGTTTCAGAGACAAGTGTTGAAGTATCGGGACATCAGCGGGTGAGGAGCGGAGTAGGCGAGGAGCGCACGCGACAACTTATCGTGGCTCAGCCTACACAAACTCCTCACGACTTACAATTTATAATTTATTATAATCTAACCTAAAAAATGAGAAAATGGAAATAAGAATGTAGTACATTCTTAGTGACATTTTTGCCAAAACTTCCATATATTATCACATTATACATATAAATATCTAAGCTTTTCATTAATTTTGATATTATTCACTTAATCTTAATCTCTCATAGTTTAAATTATCTCACTTGGCACAATGATAACGCAAATCGTACAATTGAATAATAAAACATATCACGACAGAACCGAACAATACGACGGACGCGACGTTAACACTCGCACCATTAAACGCTACGGTATCGTTCAATGTCCAAACTTCTGTATTACATTTTCAATACAAGAAAACACTATAAAGCTAACAAAGACAAAATTACAAAGAAAACGATCAACAAATGTTACTTACAAATTAAAACTCATAAGTTTACTCCTTACTCTCCAACAATTACTATTATATCAAAAATATTTGTCCATCATATTAGGTAGATCATCGCCTCCATATCATAGACGATAGGAGCGGTGGCGCAGACGCCTGGCGCGGGACGCTAGCGCATCGCGGGGCGTTTCCCGGCCACGCCGCGCGTAGTCAAGTCAAGGCTCGTTACTACGTCAGACCGATTCGACACACGATCGGCGTTCACTCTTTGGATTAGTTACTTATCACCCAACACTCACATCAGTTCAATAGAAACCATTGTACGACACAATCTCAGCAGCATGCAGAAACTCCGTGTATCGTTTCAAGAAATATTCTTACAATATACTTTGCAAAGCCGTTTATCCAATGAGCCTCCTCGTTAAAGCAACTTCGTGTAATTTCCGTTCATAATTAGGTTTTCCCACACACCCTTTAAAAATTACATTTAACAGTATAGTATGGTGATTAACAGATTAGACTATTATTTTATAACAAAAACATTTGCACTTCAAGTTTGTATATAGAACGGCGTGATATTATTATAGATATTGTTATTAACATTTGTAAACAGTATACAGAACATAATCTAACTATTGCAATCTATGACAACTCTTTACATTGTAGCAGAATAACATGGTATGAAAACATAACAATCACATTATTATTTAAAAAATAGTGTATATGAATAATATTATATATGTATAATATATATTCAAATTCAATCATTAACATAGATAATTCCCGGAATAAAATATGGATTTATCAATAGATTTACACTACAATAATAGAATTATGTCAACAACAACATTTGGACACTATATTGTCAACTCGACAGCCTGCCTGCGCTAAATTCAAGTGAAGCGTTACTTACGACAACGTCTATCCTTTGTGTAACACTTATGTGCATATATGAAGCCAGTCTAGTGGATGGGGCGCATCATTGCGACGACGCTAGCATTGGGTGACTGCGACCGCAGGCGGCTTAGGCTGCCCGAGCTGACGGGGTGTTGCGAGGGCTTGAGGGTGAAGAGGTGCGCGGGGATCTCGAACATGTGGGAGGCAGTTTACTGCTGCACGGGAGGCGGCGGTTGGGCGGCGCGGCGGCGGCCCGGTGCGCTCGCCTGCGCAACCATTGCACGAATGCGTCGCTGCGCCGACTGATAAAATACACAAGCAAGCATTAAGCATACAATTTTACAATACATGTACATTATTTCGCATTATCTATTATTTTACGATACTAGATATTTAACAGATTACAGTAGTAATTTAAATAACACGGTAACCATTGCAAAAATTGGCATTGCAAAACAAATATCGCAGAGCTTTTAATAAACACCAACATCCGGTAAATCCCATAAATGTACATAACAGATAAAAATCATACATCATAAACATTCGATTTAAAAAAACCTTTCAGTTATTTCAAATAGAGGTAGTTAATTATTTTTAATGTTCAGTGATGATGTGTGATTCTACCTGTACAAGTGTACACGTTTTTCTTATAAGTAATACATTACATAACACGACATTTATAAAAAATCTTATTTATGATAACCATAACAAAAATTTGCATATCCTACCCGGTGCAATATATTCTAAAATGTTAATAAATTATACATGTAGTTACATAGTCCAATATTAATTAGGCGTAGCAATAAATTAAAGAGTTTTTAATATATCATAAATTTTATTGTCACTCACAACATTCGCTTATAAAATAATTAAGTGTACTCTGTTTATTTACATGAATACTGGGATAACTCACCTATGTTTTAGCATCAAAGGCATAAAATAACTTGCCATGGCTGGTGTGGTGCCATTTCATAGGCTCACACTGAGGATTGTATCCTTATACAGGCAGTGACTCGTTTATGACTCTCATCCCGCGTCAGGCGACCGCTACAAAACGTAAATATCTTATTATGCCACAGTGAGTTGTGTAATTAAATTCAAATGCATTGTGAACTAGTTCGCATGGCGCCAGCAATTTAGTAAAACATTATACTTATCTTATTGACATGTTCAACGTATGTATCGCGTCACCTTATTTTCTTCATATATAAATATTACGTAACGAATAGGAACGATTTTCTTTGGACTTGTAACTACATGTATACAGTTTATTAAGCACCACACATTTTATACCACCGATTTAGAACTTCGCAGAAGCAATTCGTAATAATAATCAAACACAAAAAATAATGAATTAATAATTAAGAATACGATAAAATTTTATACAGGAAAGTACAAGTGTTAAAATGCTGCAATTGTTTTATTTTCGTAATAATTATGTCCCTATAATCTACCTCCACATATGAAGAGTACAGTAAGTAATAAATGTTGAAATCTTAATGAATACTATCAATAAATACAACAAAAAAAATCATTCACTTTTTGTAATACTATGTTCATAGAAGTTGATAATCGAGTCGACACCAATCTTGTTATACTTAGATTGAAACCGTTATAATCGATTAAAAGTTACATATTTTTAATACGGCTATATCTATTTGACTGAATATTCGAAGGGTGTAGAGGGGGCTTCGAACCAGGAAACGATAAAACGGAAACGGGACTGCGCAAACGAAGCCGCAGGCAGAAGCTGGTAGTTAATTTTAAAAGAATGACGAAATGTTTGTCCGATAATGTAATGGAAAATTATAAAGCTGTTTTATACAAGAAAAACGTCGTTCACCGTCAATACTTCTCTAGTAACTACAAATACCCTAAGCGGCTTTTTTCACATTAGATAAGTCCACTAAATGTGATGCCACTGTGATGTTGTTCCTAATAAATCTGAATAATCATCCCAATATGAATCCCGGAAGTGCAGCTGGTTAGTTATTGTTTAAAATACATACGTCGATTTACTAAATATGTAGTAGTATGCAATTAAACAAATTCAAAATTAAATTATTTACCCTAGTTGTTAAATTAGAGATTCAGATTTAACATCTAATAAGATGAGATACTATGAATCCAAAGTTATTAATTTTGACGATTTGGGTCCTTTACCTTTAATCTCGACAGTTTTACTGTTAACGAGAAGAAATCAACGCGTGTACTGCAAAACACGAAAACGGAATTTTTCAAAAGTAAATTTTTTTCGCATCTACTTGGAGGTAGTCGAATTTAGTTTGGCAAATACTGTAAGTCGCAAGTATATACATAAAGTACCAATTTGTGAACGGAAGACCGTGCTGTGGTAATTGAGATGGTAGCTCGACAATTAAAACTTAGCTAGTTCTTAGATCCATAAGCAAACAGCGTAACATATACGCGTAGGTTACGCCTGCATTAGGAACGCGCGTCTTCAGCGCCGTGGACTGATTTTTGATTTTGCATCGACGATAAACGCGCTTGTGAAGCGGCACAAAAGCGCGTACGATGGAACAGAGTAGGGGCAGGGGCGGAAGACGGGCGGAAGACGGGCGCGCTCTCGCCTCCTCTTCGCCTTAGTTCCAATTGTTTCCCCGTGTTTTACAAGCGGCTACAGCGCGTATACGTACAGTAGAGACGCGTTTCACGGTCGAGTGCTTAGGTTACAAGGTTACATTCAAATCTAGTATGAAGCGCGTATACGCACGTCATCATAACTTGCCCGTATAAAATACGCAGTGTGCTATGGGTCTCTATAACGATGGCTGTAACATGTGCACAGATACGAAAGAATCCTCTGCGCCTTCACTATAACGGTAATATTATTTGAAATAGCATTTCCGGTATCGTTCTTGATTATTGTGGCTAAGTTTATTCAGCATTTTAACACTATTCTGTCATGTCGTGACTTATTTTGTATTCGTACCTGCACGCTGTAGAAGGGGCCGACGATATGCACTGTTGTATCGTGATCCTGTTGCTGCCCGCCACCCTGCTGCTGCTGCGGTTGTTCGGGAAGCTTAATAAGCGATCCTGTTACGCGTTGCAGCTCCCGTACGTTTTGTCCGCCTTTGCCGATTATACGGCCGACTTGGGATGAAGCCACCACTATCTCCACTGTAAGCCGCACGTCATCAGAGCCTGACATGAAACCTTCTTCTCGCATCTTTTCGAAGATGAGATATTGAGCCTGTAAAAATAATATCAAACATGGTAGACAGGGAACCTCTGGGGTCTGTACAAGTGTACTTAAATATTCAAGGGTCAATGTACACACCTTCCATTGAGCCTCAGGGCTGCCAACAATGGTGACCTTACGCTCCTGTTGGGGATTGCTTTGGTTCTCGCCTTGCTTGTCCTGCTCCAGAGGGGCTATCTTCACAGATGCGTTGCTGAATCGTATGATGTTACGAATATGCAGGCCCTTTGTACCAATGATTGCGCCCACGGCATTGTTTGGGATGTACAAGTACGTTGTTTCCTATAAAACAATAATGTCGATTAGAGATTAATTAATTTTATTGTAATCTCTAAAGATTATTAAAATTGAAAACGCAGATTCGAAACCTAACCAACAACAAGTACCTATGTGACTCTTTCCGAGTTATGATTTATGTACGTAGATACATTCTAAGATTGTTTAGACACCACTGGCTATTGACAAACCACAGCCACACCTTTAAAATAAAACCGTTATTAAACTAAAATTTTCATGAATTGAGTAAATAATCAATTTACATGATACATTAAAAATTTAAAAATAATTATTCATGATAATTTTCGTTTAATAACGTTTTTACTCTTAAAATCTTAATGTATGAAACAGTGAAGGAAAACATCGTGAGGAAACCAGGTCTTATAATATGAAGATGAAGTTCGTTTGTTTTAACGCGTTAATTTTGAATGACTACTGATCCGATGCTGTTACTACTACTACCTGTTTCAGAGAGTTGACGACGGCAACAAAAATGGGTAAAAAAAAGATGACAACTCGCGAGCACGCGCTGAGTTCTTACCCACCAGTTGGGGAATAAGTTCACCAATCGATCGATAGTCGTTCGATGCCTTCGATCGGCAATCGATCCATTAGTAGAAAGTAGCAAGTACCTGTGAGTCGCCAGCTCCCTGCTGTGCCCCGCCCTGGCCCGGCAGAGGAGCGTATATTGGAGGCGGGAATGGTGGAGGAGCGCCGCAGAATCCACGTCCGGTGGACATCATGGCCATGGGGTGCAGTCCTGGGAACATAATGCTTTGCGGTGCCAGCATCTAAAACGAAAATATAAATACAATTGATTAAATTAATTATTAGCAAATTATTTACATAGTGCAAAAGTCTTTTCGGAAATGGATGTCGTGTGATTGATAATTATGTTCTTTATTGTCACAGCCCGTTAATATTTATGCATGCTATACAAATAGTAAATACCTGCAAATCACTTTCGTAGCTCTGACGAAGTTTGGCTGAAATCTGCGATTCCGCTTTAGCCATATTTTCAATAGTGCCTTTAACTGTGATGATACGCTCCAAATTGAAACTGTTGATATCATTGATGGAGGAGACGGTAATCTTCGTGTCAGTTTCTTGCATGATTCTTTTGATAGTATTACCGCCTTTACCAATAATACGGCCGATTAGATTATTGTGAGCCAATATTTTGAGGCAGATCTCACTGAAAAAAAATAAGGTCGTAGGTAAGGGTCAGGAATATATCTTTAGAAAAGCCGTCCGAAACATTGAGAAATAACAGTTCTTTGAACCAAATAGCATGTAAGTGACAGCGACAGTTGTATCTTTTTTGTGGTTGTGCTACTGTTCACTAGAGAAATTGGGAATTTCGTGGTGCTCAGTAAGCTCCTAGTATCCAATATTTTATTGGATAACAGAGTATGTAGTAATTTGATTAATAATATCTTACCCCTTGTTGGTGTTATTGGCTTCTTGTTGCATGACTTCCAATATTCTTTTGCATGCATTAGTGCAGTTCTCAGGATTACCGTATATGGTAATAGCTTTCTCAAGAGAACCAACGTTGTCCTTGCGGTGGACATCAACGCGTGCACGGCTCTGTTGTGTAATGAGGCGGATGGTGCTGCCTTGGCGACCGATGATAGCGCCGACCATGTCACTCTGTACGAGGAGCCGCAACGGGAAATCGGTGGGTCGCGAGCCGCCACCAGTGGCACCGCCGCCGCCGCGGCCGCCACCAGGGCGTCCGCGCCTGACGCCACGAGGGTTTTGCTCAGCTGCCTCTACCTTCATCCGACTGCCCTCCAACTCGCATCCGTTCAAACCATTGATGGCTCTGTAACAATTTTTTTTACAAACACGTTAAACGGATACTTCACCCCCCCCCCCCACCAGAGAACAAGCAAGATACAAAAAAACACTCATAACCACCACACGTGTGTTCTAAGACATATTTTTTAAAACCATAAGTAAAAAAGGAACAGTAAAAAAGAAAGTTAATACAAAACAGTAAGTACCTAGGTAAGATTAGAACGAATATGGTCAGTGTCGTATCGCCAAGGATGAATCGTAATAATTATGCCAAATGAAAGGGTACAATATAAATTCAAACATGAAGGGCATCAAAAGCTGTCGTAACAGCATTATTATAAATACACGCTATGTACTAACATAGTATGTACACACTGAAATTTACTAACCCTAGAATCCATCGGTCCATCCTTGGCAACGTTTGAACCAACCTTTATGCCCTGACTGTCTTTCAAAACAGATTGGACCAATGAAAACACAAACCATAAGCAGTGCCCTTTGTGATTGTACACAATAAAAAATAATACAATGCTGTCGCATTCAACTTCTAATCTATCAAGAAATGATGTCAATTAAGTGGACAGCAATAAAGCAGAAAGTTAAAGCATAGATACAAGTCATGCAAACGTCGAAAGTTATGCGAAGAAGAATATAGTAACCGAAGCAGACGGTGCACACAACGCAGCTCAACCCTCAAAGACAATACTCACTGCTGCGCCTGCTCCGGAGTCTCGAAAGTGATGAACACCGCTTGGGTGTTGGCATCGCGGGAGTTGGCTTTGTCGCAGTGTTGTACGTTGCCATACTGTGATAGCAGCGGTTCGATGTTGTCGAAGCGGATATGTAGAGGTAGCCCACTGATGAGAACTTTTGATGACCGGCTGCGAGAAGCGATAATAACCACTCAGCCACTTGTATACAACAATGTTTTATTTTATATTTATATCTATTATGTATAGGCACCTATAAATACTTCAAATTCAAAATCGGTTAATTTGTATGATAAAGTTTCACACTTGTAAAAATGTTTTATCGTTATCATTCGTAAAGTTTTATCTCACTGGTTTACTTTTTCCAATAGCAAAATTATCATGGCGCTGTGATCCCTGTCAAACACGATAATTATTTTGAAATCTACCTACATTAAAATTAAAACTGTTGTTTGGACCACTCACTGAAAATCGAACCTTTTAGTAGTACAATTGCGGACCCCAATTAAAAAGATAATAGTACAAAATATTCGGCCTGACTAAACCAAATACAAAATGAATATTTCAGTAGGTACTTTAGATATTCCACTTATGTAAAACGTAGTAATCTTACTATTCCAAACGTATTTACGTATGTTTGTTTGTTTGTAATCACGTCAAAAGGGCTGAAGACATTTCGATCATTTGAAATTCGGAACGGGGTAGATTACGGTTTGAATAACACGGGCTACTGTTCATTCCGTGAAAACGTGGGTGAAGCCGCTGGCAGAAGTTAATAGGTAAGTAACTAATTTGTTAATCTCAATCTGCCGTCATGTGAACAATTAAATGACGCGCCCAAAGAACAAGAACTATTCATTTCACAATCATGTAATGTAAGGGCTTGTTTAACCATATATAAAATGTTTTTAACTTGACTGACTTAGCGTCGTACTACATTTAATGGCTACTTAATCCAGTCCTTAGATTGTTTTCGGAAAAAAATCGTTTCTAAGGAATAGTTTAAGTAATCATTAAATGTCTCGGAGTATCGCAGATATTAACGAAAAAAAATAAGTTATCAACTAGTTCTTTCGTAACTTGGATATAGCTTACTTAGCATTATATCATATCGTCCAAGTGGTTCATCGCAAGAGGGTGAACAGGAAAAGGGCGTCGGGGTACTAGAACGCCACATTTCGGACGACTCATAACCGTCACACGAGTACACGACAGGTGTTTCACGTTTTCAGTCTGACTCAACGCACTGTCCGTTAACGATCTGACGAATACAGAATTATGCCACGAATCCCTGACTAACGTAATCTCAGCTACGGGTTGAGAAAATGACAACAATTAGGTACAGAGTCAGGTTAGGTCTTTGCTGAAAATATTGGTAATTCAAGTGTGAGTGGCAGAATAGCATAGAAACAAATAGTAAGTAATACACAATTTGCAAACATTTCGTTAGATCGGATATCATTGGCTACAAAATGGCGGAGCTCCGGAGATGACATCATCCGCGCCCTCGTCACTACGCCCGCGGCGCAGCGGCCCGACGCCGTCAGCCGCCCGGCGCCCCCCGCGCGACCTCTCCCCGAATCTCCCCACTACCCGCACGCCATTCACAACTTCGTTCCATTGCACTCGCTCAATGCATGACCCCTCATATTGAATGTACCTACCTACACCTACCTACCCAGTAACCACACTTAAATACCTATAAATATAAATACCACAGAGTTCACCAACTGATGATTTGTGATTTGCTTTTTTATCGTTTCATCATTAATCAACAGAAATAAAGCGGTCGTTGGTTTACTAGATAAACAAAATAATATATTACTATTATTCACAAAGTAAATACAATTAGCAACTTAGCAAATGCAATAATTCATTAATTACCAATAAGTAGCGACTATTTTTCATAATTATAATACAATGTATTTTAGTATAAATGCACTGGAATATTATATTTTACATTATACAAAGGAAAATAGAGACGAGTAACGTTTAAATCTCTATTCGTTTCTGTGTTTAGTTAGACACGTCCGTATTGGTTTTCTTAAAGGTCATTGCACTCTCGTAAATCAATATCTCCGCGCATCTATTTCTTCGTCAGTAAGTACATACTCCTAAAGTGAGGTAATAATGATGTACATTGAATATATCATAGTTTATTAGTTTTAATATTTATTAGATGTATAATGTAACTCTGAAATATCCTTATGACAAATATAATATATATCGCACTCTTCAACCTCTCCGTCTCGCACGTTACCACATTCAGGGTCAATAACCTATTGACAACAGATTACAGTATATTATTTATCACTGTACGTCATCGAATGTCACAATAATATTATTACTACTGCTAGTTTAATGCATTTTAGTCATTTTATTGAGGCTGTGTGTGTTTTATATTTATATCATAGATGATTACCTAGCTTTCTAGGTCCTTCCTATCAGTTGGGTTTAGAATTTGCAAGGGACATGACAGGCGGCAGAAACGAAACGGTGACGAAAGTTTTTCGTACCTAGTAAATACTAGGGCTCACATAATTAGTAACTATTGAGTATGAAAATATTGCTATTTGTTTTTATCGACTAGTTACAGTTGTATGGAATAATCGTTCTTATACTGTCGTCAGTGGGTGCAAATTCTTTTGAAGAAATCTTTAGAAGTTAGCTTTTGGCTGAGATGCGCAACTTCAATAGATTATCCTCGCCTCAATAGCATATCTAATGAGCACCAAATCGAAAATCTTATATCAAAGATGTACCCAAATAAGAGCATTGCAATTTCATAAGATATACAGGGTCAGAGGTCTTAAGCAAGGGCAAAGACCTCTTCTCAACAATGCACAGAACAGAGGTGAAATGACCTGTACTGTAATCACCATGCTTACTGCAGTAATTGAGCGAATTGACGATTTCCAATAAAAATGTTGAAATTGTAAGTCCTCACAATGTTTTCCTACATAATAAATATTGGGTGATGTCTAACGTAACCAACTTTGAATGAACATGTTACTTAGAAAAGTTAGATTTCTGATCTTGGATCATTAACCGATACGATACGATATCGTTTTTTTTTTTATTATTTTGTAAAACAGATCATAGCGTATGTGACCTATTTTTGATCAATGAGTAGCCCCTAATGTGGACGGTGTTCGCGAGTAACAAGCAAGCTAATGCAACGCATTCGTTACATCTTAATTCTCGTAATTTAATAATTAAACAATAGTAATGCACTTTAAAATTGGTCATTACAAAGTCTTATAATAATAATCCTAGTAGCCCAGTGCTAATACATAAATAGCATTAAAAATGGTCAAAAATGCAAGAAAATTATTAATGCAATGCATGTGAATGAAACAGTCAGGAAAGAGAATAAAAACATAAAAATATGAACTACGGGCGATTTGAGGGTCACGAAAAGGATGGATATACAACGGTTTAGAATAAAAATATTTACCAGAATTTTCAGAAAAATTCAGTCCTATGGAAAAAAGGTCAATGGCAAAGTAAATTAACATTTTAAATGATATGTTAAAATATTTTTCTTGAATAAAAATAGTACATTACACATTCGTGAACGAGGGATTCTTACATAAATAGTAAATTTTACAAAATAGTTAATTTTAACGTTACAGATTAGGAATAGATGTATAATATTATAAATAAGTTTATTTTTGTAAGAAATATAGGGCATTTTTATTTATTATTTTATTTATTTACTACACGTTCGTGAGAACCGCGATAATCTGAAGGTATGCAAAATTACCTAAAATGCATTAATGCACTGGATGCACAATTTTACACTAGAAGGGCTAATGTCTTGTTCCAAAATTAATTGAACGTTGCCGTTTCGTTGACAGTTTTCATTGTTTGTAAGGAAGCATTTGTCATTTGTTTCTGAAGGGTGCATGCATTCGTTAAATGATGCAACGTACTCAGTTACCTTAACCCCTCGAGCGTCCTTATGAGCACCCGGTGGATCATAAGAAAAAATGCTCCATGTGCTTTCTATTTTATAAAACCTATTATTAATGTTTTGTTTTTATTTTGACTGTATTTTTAATTTCTATTGTAATGATCCTTGTTTTCGTGTGCCAATGGCCAAATAAATGAATTTTCTTTCTTTCTCCCAATGTCACGTGTGCACCCGTTGGATCATAAGGAACGCGGACGACGCTCGACGGGTTAACAGGTTAACAGGGTAATCTTGAAAGTTCAATAACTTTGCAAAAACGGTAGGGTTTTGGGTATATGATGAACATCTACATTTTTATAGTGGACAAGGCGGCAAACTGACATGGTGAAATACAACACAATCGCTCTGACGCCGGTTTTCGGTAAGGCCGTGTATCACTTTGATCGAGACGACCCGTGCTTAAACACAGTTCTACTGGCATGCAAGTAATTATTAGATAATTACCTAGATAACACCATTAATTTAGAGACTAGAATTTAATTGATTTTTATATATTTATTATATATTTATGTATGTATACAACAAAATATGTACTAATTAAATTTTATTTTACAGATTTTGTATTTATTTTGCTATCCTAGTTGTAAGCACGCATGGTATTTGAACAGGAAATAGCGTACAACAATAGCACTAGCCATTGTGGCTACCTCAGATTAACCAAATCAATATATTGCAATTTTTAACAGGCGTAACCAAAACGAGTCGACAATTTCAGAGCAGTCTAACTAGTTTCTTAGCAAGTTCAGTCGTTCGTCCAAAAAGGCGGCTCAATATTCTGGGGTGTCGTCTAAACCTGTTTGGTAGCACGTAATTGGTTCAAAGTATCTTAAATACCTCATGTATTTCAACTACATCACATACAATAACCACAACAAATATTATATAGGATTGTTGCATCTGCTGCTGCATACACGTATTACCTAGTACGTGTATATAGGTGTGTACCAACTCAATTCACATAGCTATTTAGGCCTATTGACCGAATCCGGGTTAAAATATACTATAGGTAATTGTGGGTTATCAAGTACTATGAAATTATAAATATGTTTTAATATACCTACTGCTTTTAATGTATTTGTTATTGTAAGAAGTTGAAATCTGGCCTTCTGCCTACAACTTTAACCATTATCAATCAAGTACCCAGTTAGTATCCTAGTTTTAAGTTTATCTCAAATTGTTTTAAATTATTTACATT